CTCATGTCTGCACAATCATACATTCAAATTAATCCTTATGATTAATCTAGACCTGTATAGGATAATACCCAAACTATTCTAGGTACACATGATCATAGGTTCAATTCTAGTTAACCCTGTTTGATCATAGGATAACATCATATATAACTTTTATGCTTGAGACACATGTATTGAGTCTAATGAATAGTCTAAGTGACTTAGACCTAGCCATTGCATGATAATCCCTTTAAAAGTATACCTAAACTCACCTAAACTAATTTAAATCTAAAAATATTCCTAGATTTTTCTAAGAACCAAAGTAAAACCCTTATTCACACCTAGTATACCTAGTAGACTCTATTACAATTGACATTGGATTGTTAACTCCAAACCTTACCTAAACCCTCACCTTGGGAGCTACATATATTAAACTTGTCAACCCTAGTTCCCAAGGTTATGGGGTTGACCCAATCAACATACTTGAGGTAGGTCAAACTAGCTCAATGTAGGCTAAACCCTTACATTGACCCCCAACTGCCTACTTTAGCTTCATTAAACTCACTCAATATAATCCATTATGAAAGTTCAATAGATGGTTATAAAACCAATTGAATAATGGAATGGCACACCAAGATGTGGGGGTGAATTGGTATTTCAAAAACTTTTTAAAAATCCTTTTGAAATCAAACAACCAAATTTAGAATATTTAAAGTGGAAGTAAATAACAAAATAAATAAAAAAACTTTTATTTTTTATTTTGGAGAAAAAGCCAATAATAAATATTTTTTCTAAGTTTTTACTTTTCTATTTTTTTTTTTTTTCATTTTGCTATATAGATAAAAGCAAATAAACCAATATGATTTTTGTATTACAATAACAACCAAACTCAACCAGATTGTGAAAAATAAAATATACAGGAAAGTCAAATCTACATTATTTAAATGCAAAAAATAAACGAATGCACATAGCTTGGTCAATTTGATCTATATCCACTCCCTGAAGTTCTCCTCTTCATATATTGCACTAAATAAATAGCAACTATCCTTTAACCTTACAGCTAGGCAGAGAGCCCTTACACAATCACTTTCACCAACTTGATGCGATGGAGTAGTTGGAATCTCTTTCACGTCTTCGGTGTAGTAGAGTAGTCCAACTCACTTTCACTCTCCTAGTGTGGTGGATTAGCCCAAATCACTTTCACCTTTCCTGTGTGATGGAGTAGCTAGTGGTCTTTTGACAGTAAAGGGTTCTTCATAGAGATTCCCTCAAGATGATTAATGACACATAGAGGAACTCAGTTGCAATTTGACTAGCTAGAGAACCCGTATGAACTCTCCTCTCACACTCTCTTGAAACTCACAAAGATCTTCTTCCTCTCTCACAACATCATCCTTTCTCTCATTTTGCTCAAAGACCTCTATTCAACGAACTCTCATAATAGGCATAACCCTCTGAGTGCCAAAGACTCTTATATTAAGAGAGTTTAAATAGTGGGCTTACAAAAATCCTAAAAATTCAATTCTACCATCTCTATTTATACAGTATAATTTATTATTTGTACCATATAATTAGTTTAATTCTCCCCTATTAATACTATATGATAAATAGTAGTTCCGTATGATCAATTTAAATTCTTCACTAATCATACAATATGAAGAAACGAGCGTATGATATGATTAGTTCAATCGAATCATAGCTCAAACAAAACAAACCTTAGGATGACCAAATATCATCTCTAATGATCATCCCGTACGATCAAAATAATATAGTATGATTTTAAATATTAATTAATCCATATTTGATTGACTAATCACAATGAGTAAATTATGCAATATTTTAAAATATCGTATAGTATGAATATGTTCATATGGTATGAATGGAGCAAAATGTAAAATTTAAAGTATTGCCTAATTTAATTAATGGTTAAGTTTCTAAAAATATATAATCATCTTATATGATGAAGCACTCATACAATACGATTAGTTAAATTTATTTCAATTTAGTTCTCAATTAATTAAACATTTTAATTAATTTCTAATTGAACGGATCATATAATACGATGGAGATTATCTATTATGATCTTTAAAAAAATTAAAACATTTAATTGCACTCTCCATGTATGTGTGCATGAATTCTAATCAAACTTGATAAGAAAATTATAAGCTTATCAAATATGATTTTATTTTTAAATTAGAATATAGAACAAAAACAAATATAAAATAAATTAAAAGTAAAACTAAAAGTGATCTCAAAGTCCTCTAAAATATCAGTAGATTTGTTTTATATTTTATTTCTTATGTATTATATTATAGCATATTATTTAATTACATGTACTAAAATTATGTTCAGATTGATCCCTCAAAGAAGATATATAAGTAATAGCTTATCTCATTTATAATACAAATACTCTTTGCGTGTGTGTACTTATATACTTGTAGTACTAGTCATGAATTTGCTGCTAATAGAAATTAAAACCTTCCTTGTTCTCTGCTATAGCACTTCAAGGTTGTTCATCTCTCCTCCACATCCTTTGAGATCCCATCAATTTTGTCCTCCTATGCATTGTCTATGATTTTTCTCCTCCCTACACCACCTCTTACTTTTCTCCCCTTCTCTTCCTTTGATTCCTAGCTAATCTCATGATCTAAGCTTCCAACATCTTTTACCAGGCTTAGAGCCCTGTCCCTAGTGGTCTTTCATGAATTTGAAAATAGATCCCTCACAATTCTGCATTAATGCTTATTTATTTATATTGCATCATGATATCTTGTGAAAAATATTATTATCCATCATCTCTGAAAGAGAAATAAGAAGCAAGTAAAGTGGGATATCATCATGGCGGTGTTGACTTTTAACACCACATATGGTTGTTTAGGAGTTCTAGTAACTTAACCAAAGTTCTTACTTCATAGAATTGGAGTACACATCTAAAAGGATCATGTCATAGTCCCTTAGGTAATATGGCATGTGAAAGTAATAATTTCAAATGTTTTTGTCTAGTGCTTTGGGCTAGAAGTAAATAATAAAACTCCTTAAAGTGTTGTTCTATTATTGCCTCAAATTGAGGAGAACTTAGGAATTATTTAGTAGTTTTTGGGCATTGGTGGATCTAGTGATGAATACTTTCTTAAATTTTGAGTTAACGTTCCCCAATGGTAGCCATGAGAACAACCTTCATATTTTCCATTGAATGTGGTATAAAACAATCAATTTTTTAGCATGTGTTCATATTTTCCCTTGAATGTGGTATAAATCAATCAATTTTTTAGCATGCCATTGATGTTAAAAGGGGAGAAGTTGATTGAAAAGAAAATATATGATTATTATCCATCTTTCCTCTATATGAAATCATATGATAGATCTTAAACTTAAACTTTGCTAGAGGATACATCCTTACTATCTCCACAGAGAATGCATTTGATTGATAAATTCAACACTTCTTCACATGTTGTGATAGAGTTTTAATTATACTCTCTGTGAGACACAGATATGCCTGATCAGAGAAATTTTTACGTACAGTCATCAAATCGTTCAGAGACGAATAAGGATGTAGCACGTCACCCGGTACACAGCGATACATAGCACCATTACACAACAAAATTGTGACGTGGTGTGTCCTGATTCGCCTCCGAACGGCGCCTAGTGACTGCACATAATAATTCCTAGTCTCTTCAATAGCTTTAAGATTTCACTATATCTCTGTGATATAAAGTACAAGTTTTACAAGTTGGTGTGACATTTATCAATCTAAATATATTTGCAGGTTCATGCTCCGACTCTTATTTATATGTTTAGGGGCTGTTTGGTATCGGATTTACAGCGGGATTTAAGTCGGATTTACGCTAAATCCAGCCAAACAGTTTTTGTGCGCGCGTTAAATCCCGAGATTCGGCAAATCCCGGATTTACGTATTTAGGGCTTAAATCCGGGATTTAATAAATCCGAGGGGTAGCCGGATTTATCAAATCCGACGGGATTTATCGGAAGAAGCGCGCCAAAGGGAGAAAGTTACCTTCACAGCCAGCGAGCTCCCGTTCTTGCTTCCGATCAAAAATGTAAGAAATTTCCGATCCGACGGGAAGGGACACAGACGTCGCAGGAAGCGAAGTTGAAACAGTCACGAGAAACGAAAGAAGCGACGCAATGCCAATCTAACACCTCCTGCGAAGCAAACGAAGCCTAAAACAGCACCACAACTCCTGCGAGCAACGAAAGCCCTAACAGCAAACGAACTAAAGAGAAGATGAAAGGCAAACCTATAGACGCCTCTAAGTTATTATTTATTAACTTAATTAATATATATTTAAAATATTAATAAATAAGTAAAATATTAAATAATTAATTAGTGCATAAATTTATTATCTAATTTACTTATAATGTAACAATTAAGTTATTAAATATAATAAAAATAGTTTAAATTAATAACACTTAAATAATATGTTTGTTAATTATTAAATATTTTAATTAATAGTGTAATAATAGTTAATGAATAATTTATACTTAATATGTTATTCAAAATTTCTAATACTTAAATTTTCCATTTTTAATTATAAATTTATTTTTTAATTTATAATTATATTCTTCACATTTAAATCCCTAACTGCCATAAATCCTAAAATATGTTACCAAACAGTTTCTAAGGATTTAATAAAATTTAACATTTAGACATATCAAATAGTTTTCAGAATTTAACACATTTCGGATTTACTAAATCCGAATTTACACGATTTATTAAATCCCACTAAAGTTAAATCCCACTTGTTGCCAAACAGCCCCTTCGATCGACTTACAGCACTACAGAAGATACTACATCGAGAATATAATTAAAATTGTATAATACGTAACAATATTAGCTGTAAAATTAATGAGGCTAACTTATATATATCAAATTACATTGTAAGCTCTAGGTAAAAGTCGAGATCCTTGAGAATCTTTGATGATGTCTACTTTATTACAGACTATCGAATTCTTTTGAATGCTTAGGTGACTTTGATGACCAAATTCATCGGCAGATTTAAGAGATCTTATGGGCGAGTAGAATTTTAATGGAGTTCAAGCGACAAAAAAAAAGATCGAGTACAATGTGTTCAGTAGTTTTGACATCTTGAGCTGACAAATTTGTCAGTAAATTCATAATCTCTTATAATAACTTCATTTTTTTGCATTCAATTTTGAATCACCTTCAGTTTCGAACTCTTTGTCTCCTGATTCTCTCCAATTCCATTTTCTATAGATGGGCAAGAAGGCGAAAGAGAGGGCCAAGGAGAGGCGAGAAAAACGTTTGCAGCAAATCTCTGAGCTCCGAAAAGTACCTATCTCCCCGCGCCTCAGGTACGTGCAATGGAACGGCCACAACATGTTTGGCAAAATGTTCCAACGAACTGCTATTTCTTTGATTCCGTGTATTCGTTCTTCTGCCATACTCATTTGTGCTACCTTTATAGATGGTGGTCTTCCGATACAGTGGCCGTTGTGACAGGAGCCAATAGGGGGATTGGCTTTGAGATTGCTCGCCAATTAGCGTCCTACGGCCTCCATGTAATCATGGCCTCAAGGGATGCGGAGCGTGGGCGGCATGTAGCAGAGACGCTGCAGAATGATGGCCTCAATGTCATATCTCACCAGCTCGACATCTCAGATCAAATATCTGTCGAATCCTTTTCAAAGTGGGTTGTTCTCAATTATGGTGGAATTGACATCCTGGTTAGTGAGAAGCTTGGCCTTCTATGTATTCTCGAAAAACTTTATTTCTGCTACAGAATAGTGAGCTTTCTGTTTTCCCCATTTCTATAGCTTGTATGGTCGTAATAATCAATAACTAAAAGAAGGTGTCGTGTGTTGGTATTGATGAATACACATATCACATATGCACAACAGAAATACTTGCTTTTCTTACCACAAGTGCAAATTATATCTGAAGGAATTTTACAAACTGTGAGCAGAAGCAAAATTACACTGTAATTTTTGGTTGTTGATTATCATTAGATAGTGAAAATTGCTTATGTTCCCTCAAATGCTTGCATTTCTATAGTCTTCACTTTTGTTCTTCAAAGTTCCATAATTACTCTTATATTTTTATCGGATTTCTCTGTTCTCAAGTTTAAAGGGCTTCCTGCTTGAGATAAAATGGAAAATAAAGTGTTCAAAGTACAAGATAATTTTAAAATATAATCTATGTCAGTATCCTTCTTTTGGATGCTGGCGTTACAAAAGAATGCCTGTTTGTAGGTTGCAAAGGATTGGATTTACATTGCTTGCGTCTCATATAGTTTTCATAAATGTTTAGTGCATAGATAAAATGTTTAGGGAACTAGGTTTGCATAATATGAAAATTCTAAATTGCAGCTTTCATTAAGTCTGTACAAAATCCCACAAATTGCAGATCAAGGTGAAACTAAAGGTGCAGACCTAGCCATCGCCAAATAGCTGAATTTGTGGCAGCCTCTGGACAATCAGCTCCTAAATACTGCATTACAGTTTACTTTTGCGGGAAATTGCTCAGCAAGGGTTTACTATGTTTAGTAATTACTCAAATCATGAGAAAAATAATGTATACGTAGTGACTAGTAACTGAAAAACTAAAAACACATGGTAAGGCAGCACGGGAGTTTTCTGGACTAGCAAAGGTGCTAACGCGTTACCTAAGCACTCTTATTAAAATTTTATGGATAAATAGGTACTTGGAAAGAGTTCATGGAAGTTAAAATTTAGAGTGTCTCACAAACATATCTAAACCTTTTTGTATGTGTTATGATTTAAAGCAAATTTAAGGGCCTAGTCTAAGGACTTAGCGTTAAGTGGTGTTTTATAAATGTTTGGCATGTTATCAAAGTCCAAGGCTCTATTTACCTCTCATATAAACATTTTGTTTGATCTCATAACACAATTTGACTTCTTGAACTGTATTTCTAGGTTCAGCTTGTCGAGAGGTGGATTTTTATATACACTATTTTCGCTTAGTTCTTAGCAATAGAAACAGGTCATTGGCTTCCCACGAAAAGAGGTAGATGGTTGTACGGATTGTATGAGACTGGGATCAATTAGGATTCATGGTGAACCCTAATGGAGCTAGAGTAAATTATGATAAGTCTACTCAAAACTTTAACCACATGAAGAACCTATTTGCACACCTACGAAAACTATAGAAAGATATAACTAAGAATATTAGATGTCATGTGATGGTATATCATGATGCCATCAACATGGGGCAACTAGGAGCAACAAAGTTTCCATGATATCGTAAGCATCATGGAGTACTTCAGGGGGCTGACAAAATGTGCCCAAGTAAGAAAGGCACTTAAGAAAGTGTAAGAAGGCAACACGCACATGGTAGAAATAGCAGATGTTAGACTTAGTTACTGGTTGCAAGTCTAACTTGATGTACCCCTTTTGTGTTTTCTTGTAGCATACTTTCACTATTTGTATCTCCTTCAATGGATTTTTCTTTATTGTGAGCATGCTATTTAAATTTGAGGCTCTTTAGGGTTATTCTTGCTTCTAGGTGGAAGCAAATTTTATCCTATGGCTTCTCTAATATCTTGAATCTAGACAGATAGTGCCTAAAAGAATGCCAATGTATTATCACATAATAATATAAAAATGATTGGTAAACAAGGAGTGTGCAAAGATCACTAAACAATGAAATTATTTTTATTTTTTAAAGAATATGGACTCATAAAAGACCCTAAGCATCTCGAGTAAGTTGTAGCCATATCATTTGAGGACTCAGATTTGTTATAACTACATATACATAGAAGTTTGTCTGCTATGCGATAGTGGGGAAATGTATTGAAGCTAAAAATAAAGATGAAGAAGATTTTTATGAAGTTACCCATTCAAGTGATCAAGCCATGAAAGTCAAACTTAAACCCGAAGAACTTGAGATGGTAGGCAAGCTGCTACCATAGATAAGTTGAAAGAAATCAAATTTGAAACTAAAAAAGATTCTTTCCCAACTTTCATCAATGATATTCTCTCTATGAACAAAATTGAAGAAAGGAATTTGCTACTATATGAATTCATGAATTATTTTGTCTCGACATATGCTAAAATGACTGGCTTATATCATGATGTAGTAGTTCATAGATTAGCAATCAAATTTGATTTAATGCCAATTAAAGAAACTTCAAGGTGAATGTGATTGAAAATTTAAGAATAGGTGAGGGTAGAAACTAAAAAAGCTCGTAGGAGCATGTTTCAATCAAGAAGAGAAATAAATATACTAACTGGATCGATAATATTGTTCCTATGAAGAAGAAAAACAATCATTTTCGCATTTGTATTAACTTTTAGGATCTCAACATGGTGTGTCCAAAGGATTACTTTATGTTACTAGCATCAGAATTGCTAGTTGATAATACTTCCAACTACGACATGTTCTCTTTAATGGACGTATTATTGGTATATAATAAAATTAAAATGACTCCTGAAGATGAGAAGCATACATTATTCAACAAGCTAATTGAAATATGTTGCTACACGGTCATGCCTTTCAGTTTAAAGAATGCTAGGGCTATATAGCAAAAAGCCAACGAGTATTATGTAGATGATCTGGTCATTAAAAGCATGGATTAAAAAGATAATTTTGATAATTTGACAATCATATTAGAGACTATCAAAAAATTTGATCTCAAGATGAATTTTTCTCAAGAGTGTTTTTTAGGTTTTCTAAGGAAATTCGTTTGCAAATATCGTACACATTGAGTGATTGAGATCAATTTTACAAGATCAAGGCGATCATTGAGATGCCTCCACTGAAAAGTCTTCACCGGCTTCACTTTGCAAGGGAAGCATGCATTCGTTTCACATTCATATCAAATATGTCAAGCATATGTCAATCATTTGTAAAGCTGATGAAAAAATGTTCACTTCGAATGGGATAAAGAATGACAACAAGCCATCCATTCTTGTAATTTCAATCTCGAGGAAGCATATTATTTTGTACACAAAAAGCATGTGAAGAGTCTCTCGAAGAATTGTTTGTGCAATATAATGAGAAAGACAAGGAGAGCCCTCTCTATTTCATCAATTGAAGACTAATAGATACATCTTACTCATTTGTAGAGATCAGATAATGAAAACTTAGTTTGTACGATGGAGAGAGACCTTAGCCTAAGGGCTAAGCATTGAACTTCTCGTTATAATACTTCTCAATATCTTAAATGGTTTGCCTTCAAACCAATATGAGCCAAAAAGTCTAAGGTAGCTTTGGCATTCGTTATAAAATGATCCAATGAGTCAAGCGACCCCAAGTTCTGCTTAGAAATTAAATTCTGGAGGAACATCATGTTATCTTATATGTTCTTATTCCTTAGACTAGTGAATGATGGATACTGGCGATATATATCGGATTGGTAATCTGCTCTTTCTAGCACTATAAGAAAAAGAGGAAAAATGAAACATTAATATTATTCAAAGAAAATAGAGAGTCACCTTAGATGGTTTTGTCACATTAAACGGAGGGCTTCAGATGATCCGGTTAGGAAAATTGAGGTATTAGATTTGTCTTATGTTAAGGTAGAAGTAGATATAAAAAGAATTGGTTATAAAATATTAGAAATTGTCTTTCTTTATTAGATTTAAATGAGAATTTGATTTTTAACATGACACAATGGCGAAAAAGGATTCATGTAGCCGACCCCAAATAGTGGGACAAAGACTTGATGTTGATGTTGTAAAGAAACTAGAGAGTAAAAGAAAGGAGAAGTTTTACCTTGGCTCAATTCTATAAAATCTAATAGGCAACTACTACAAAGATGTTCCAAAGTAGCTAACTCAAGAGTTACGAGGGTGTACATGGGTACATCATGCACTTTAGTGTGTAGCAATTCCCATACCTTGGATGTTTTACCTAGCCAAAAGATCGAAAGGGGTCTAGGGGGAAGTTTGGCTACATTGAAGATATATTCCCATGTTGACCTCTGTATAAGAAACCAAAGGAGAAAGAGAGAGACCGGTGAATCCACAAAATCCTCCGCGATACCCTGCCGAAATTCCGCTGCAAACGGCGCCGCTCCAGTCTGTATCCGTGATTCCTGCTCAAATCTCGCGGCAGCCCCTCGAATACTGCTCTCCAACGCCTTTAAAAGCAAGCCCAAGCCCTCAAGCTTTCGCTGCTCTTCTCTCGTTCGCGAATCCCACGATCACGGCACGACTCTTCCCTCTTTTCCATCCGCTGCCCTCTTCAATCTCGACTCCAAGCCACGGTCCCGATACTTCTCCTCTCAAGCTCCAATCCACTTCCGATCCCGCTCTCTTTGCTTCTACGACCAGAGACCAAACCAAACCCCCTCCTTCCTCCGATCAAGACCGGGCCGAACCCTTGCTCCTCCCGTCCCTGCCCTGTTCGCAATCCGTCGGCCGAGAGAGAGAGAGAGAGAGGGAGAGTGTCGAACCCCTTACCTCTTAACCGATAGAGAATCACCTTAGATGGTTGGTCACATTAAATGGAGGCCTTTAGATGATCCGGCTAGGAAAGTTGAGGTATTAGACTTGTCTTATGTGAAGGTAGAGGTAGACATAAAAAAGACTTGGTTAAAAAATATTAGAAATGATATTTCTTCGTTAGATTTAAATGAGAATTTGACTTTTAACATGACATAATGGTGAAAAAGGATTCATGTAGGCGACCCCACGTAGTGGGACAAAGGCTTGATGTTGATGTTGTAAAGAAAATAGAGAGTAAAAGAAAGGAGAAGTTTTACCTTGGCTCAATTTTATAAAATCTAATAGGCAACTACTAGAAAGATGCCCCAAGGTAGCTAACTCAAGAGTTACTAGGGTGTACATGGGTACATACATCATGCACTTTAGTGTACCAATTCCCATACCTTGGATGTTTTACCTAGCCAAAAGATCGAAAGGGGTCTATGGGGAAGTTTGGCTACATTGAAGATATATTCCCACATATGGAATGTGGGATTAGGCATATGCATGCTCGACTAGCCTATCCCAAAACCATCAAAAGGATCGTTCCTCGCATCTATAAATAGCCTAAAAAGATCAAATGATTACTCCAGAGTCGTAAGTCATTCCGGGATGGGACTTGCCACCCAATCCATAGAAAACCACATGTAGGCTTCAAAGGGCTTGAACGCACATGCCTACATTACAGTGAAGGGATTTTAGCATAACCTAGAGAGGCTTCCCTGGTCCATACTCTCATGGGAGAAGAAATGGTCTCATTTTGAACTAAATCACCTTGGCCACCTATGATTTGGTTAAATAGAAATCAAGCATCACAACAAAGTTCAAAAAGATAAATGAAATGATTGATAAGTAAAGGCTGTAACTCCACTGTGAGCGATCTAAGTAGAGCTACATCTAGGTCTTTGATCTCAAGGAACCCCAACGACCTTATTGTCACTCATATCTCCTAACACTACACTACATAAAAGATATGAAAGAGTCTCACCCAACTCATTCTAAATCCAAAATAATTTTTTGGTACAAAATTACTAGCAATATATGATGAAAAAGAGCATTACATCATCCAAATCTAAATATGCACATCTACTGGACATAAATGTTACATAAGAAGCACAACAATAAGAGAAAACAAAATAAAGACATCGGTACCCATTTTGTGTAATTGAGCAAATGTGCTTAGCCTTGCTGCTGCTCTAGCAACAAGTTCCATGCATAGAGCCAGACCTAAAATAAATTAAGCATCCGGGGAAGAACATTACGAAGAAAAATAAAGGTTTCTATGCTAAATTAAATTGACCAGCAACATGAATATTTAGAACTTGAAGTGCAAAAATTGAAAATTAGAATAGATGGAACCCTCGGAAACAAAGATGACATTAATCCAAAGCATAATCTGAATCCCTCTCATAGTTGAAAAAAATATGCGATGTAGATTTGGCAAATATAGGCATTTTGATGTAAAATTTCAAATGACCTTAGTCATTATGTGAAAAAGATATGTCAGAGCAGATTCCTCTTAAGAATCATCTTCATCCAATTTTATTTGGACAACCACAATATAATGAAAAGACATATCAATCCCCAAATCAGAATATTAACTATATAATGTCTAAAAAATTGCTAAAAGGGTATTATTGGTAGAATTAAGAATAATAGGAACACCCTCATGGATGACCTGCTATGATGCATCGACACTTCTCCTCAAAGAAACGTGCAGTATCCGACAAGACATACATCCAACACACCTTTGACGCTTGTCGAACACGTCAAAAACGTGCCCTATTAAAAATGTTAAATATAAAATGGACATGCATGTTCGACACGTGTCTTAAATAAGTTATGAATATTTTTTTTAAATATAATTTCTTGTATTTAAATTTTTTATTTTTTTTTAAATATATAAACTAAATTTCTTATTTTCTATCTACAACATAAAATCAATTGCCCCACTTAATACCCCATTCATCAAATATTCTCATTTTCATTTCATTTGAGTCGCGACTTAGTTTCATAAGAATGTCCAATGTCATCTAGGACATCTAACGTCGTTCAATATCGACATTTCGAAATCATCTCAACATCAAAGTCTGATATTATCTTGACATTGATGCTCGACACTAGCAATTTCTACACCCACAACTTGACCATTCATCTTTGTCCAACATCATTTTAACATCGATCACTAATGCCCTCTGATGGGGACATCAGAGCTTGGAGGGTTTATCACCGTAGAGGCCGGAGATCTATGGCCTTCATTGAGTCTTTATATTTTTAGTTTTTAAGTGTTATAGGAGATTTATGTGGTGTTATTATTTATTATAGTTTTAGCCCCACTTAAGGAAGCTTTTGTGTTATTTGCAAAGGGCCTTCTTGTCTTTTATCCGGTTCAACTTATTATTTTCAATTCCCTTATTTTTATTAGCTTATATGCCTCGAATCTTTTGATTGTGCTGCAGGTAAACAATGCTGGTATCAATTTCAATTTAGGATCGGAAAATTCAATTGAATTTGCAGGGAAGGTTATTGAAACAAACTATGTTGGCACAAAAAGGATCATTGAAACTATAATCCCAGTGATGAAACCTTCTGAGAATGGTGCTCGGATATTGAATGTGAGCTCAAGACTTGGTAGAGTGAATGGAAGGCGAAATGTAAGATTATCTAATCTATTCTTTCGATTTCTATTCTGTCAGTCTAAGGTTTCGTTTGGGACGGCTTTCTTGCTGCTTCTTAAAGCAGCTTTCTAGTTCAATAATTAAAATTTTTGTACTAAAAAACTACTTTAAGAAGCAACAAGAAAGCCATCCCAAACAAAGTCTAACACAAAATCATAAATTTCTATAGCAATCTTCTGTTCAAAGTAATATGGATTTATCAAAGGTTTATTCATTTTAGAAGTACCTACGTGCTTGATCTTTGTCTTCATGGAGGCATTACATGGTCTGTATATGTTGACCTTAACAGAGATTGGGGGATCCAACCCTGAGAGAGAAACTCCTGACCGATGACCATATCTCTGAAGAACTTATTGATGGCATGGTTGCTGACTTCCTCAAACAAGTGAGAGATGGAACTTGGAAAGCAAACGGGTGGCCTCAAATGTTCACTGACTACTCAGTCTCAAAGCTGGCTGTCAATGCGTACACTAGGTTAATATCAAGATTGCTTTCTAGCAGGCCAGAAGGTCATAGAATTTACATCAATTGCTACTGTCCTGGTTGGGTGAAGACTGCCATGACTGGTTGGGAAGGAAACCTGTCTGCTGAGGAAGGTGCAGATACTGGTGTATGGGTCGTCCTGCTACCAAACCAGTCACCGACGGGTAAATTTTTTGCAGAGAGAAGAGAAATAAGCTTCTAGGATACTACTTCCTAGAAGTTTATTTCTCCTCTCTGCATTCTAGTTGCTTCTTAAAGCAGCTTTTTAGTACAAAACTTTAAATTTTTATATTGAAAGCTGCTTCAAGAAACAACTAGAAAGTCATCCCAAACCAAGCCTAAAAACTCCAGTCGAGGCTAAGCTAGATTCACAAATTAAAAACAGAATGCCGAGGACATTATCAATATACCTAATAGGATGAGTTGCGGAACGTTCTTTGCACTGTGTGCAATTGCAAAATCACTTTATATTTTTTTTTCTGTTTTATGAACTTGTATATTGATAGGAGATGAGTCATCTTAATAAGTTATCTAAAAGTGTTACTATAAAGTTCTCAACTTCACATCTCTCACGAGAAATTATTAGGTTCGGATATCGGACAGAGAGAATCATCCGGATTTCTCTTTGTTTATAATCAAAGCGTAATTTACTGTAGCAGCTGAGCTTTGACTGTCTTTACTGTAGACAGAGAGAATCCGGAGGTGTCCGCACCTAATAATTTGCCCTGCCATAGACAATACCTTTTCTGATCTATCTGTTCAGAACCGTTGATGCTCTGCAAGTATAATCTGCACCATTAATTTTTAAGTAACTCTCTATATATCTGTATAGTATTTTATATTGTGTGTGGAACTGTAGTTTTAAATATAGTAAGAATGAAGCTTACCTGCTATTATCTCTATACCTTTCTGATGTTAATTTTCTGATGTCTGAGGAATTTACGTCGTATAAGATGAGCTTTGCAATGCTGCTTCAGGCTTTAATCCTTTCATCAGATTTTTTTTTTACCTTTTTCTCCTGGTGCTCTGGCTACCTGCTGCAATTCGTGGCTGCTTCAGCTGATTCCTCTACTTCACTTACGCCTCTTTCATCACAGTCCTATACCCCCATTCCTCCCCAACTTAAATTTCTTATGGCCAAGTAAATCTGTGCTTTATGTCCAACTAACCACATATACTTCCTTATTTGGCGCTCTGAGATTCTAAAATTATTTAGTACTAATGGCTTTGTTGGTTATCTTGATGGTTCTATCTCAAAACCATCTAAACAAAAAATACTTGCTGATGGTTCAATCCTCACGAATACAGCCTTTCAAATTTGGATGCTCGTCGATCAAAATCTTGCAGCAACACTCTTTTCTATAGTATCTCAACATTGCTCCCTTATGTTCTCAACCTTGACTCTTGTCATGATATTTAGCTTTCACTTGAATGCCGCTGGCAATCCACTTACCTCTCACACATTCTTCAGTTGAAAAATGAACTGCCTCAAGTACAGATGCGGGACAAATATGTGGTTCAACATCTCCCAGGGATCAAAGAAAAGGTTGATGCTATTGTTGCTACCGGCTCTACTGTTGACCCAAAGGACATCATTCTTTATATATTTAATTGGCTTCGTTCCTCCTATAATGCCTTTAAAACAACAATTCACACAGAACTTCATCCTATCAGCATAGATGCCCTGTGTGCGTTGTTATGTGGTGAGGAGTTAAACATTACAGTGGATCTTGCCTCTGAACAAACAATTGTTAATAATGTTGATTCTACCTTTGATCTTGTTACATTCTGTGGTCGTTCACATGGACGTGGTACTTATACAACCTCTTAACGGGGTTGTTCTACTTCTTTCTCTCGAGGTGACCACTAACCTCAACACTCTGGTCATGGAGGCCGTTGTACCTCCTCTTTCATGAAATGCCAAATTTGTGCCAAACCTAGACATTCAGCAATAACCTACTGGTATCATATTGATCTCTCATATCAACCTGCACCACAAGCTTATCTAGTTCATGAAGCATCACTGCTATCATACTAGTTTCTGGATTCTGGAGTCTCATCTCACCTCACCTCAGATGCTTCTCAACTTCAATTGCTTCAACCTTGCTCTTTCTCTGGTCAAGTACAAGTTCACGTTGGTAATATGTTCCAATTTCACATTATGGTTAGGATATTCTACCAACTCATCACATATGCCACTTACCTCATATTCTTCATGTTCCAAATCTCACACATAATCTACTTTCCGATCATTATCTCGTTGTTGATAATATGTGATATATTTATTTTGACATTTGTGGGTTCACCATCAAGGACTCCCAAGACACACAAGACTCTGCTTCAAGGGCCCATTCTACAAGGTCTCTATCTTATTTAGCTCCCTTCAGCACAAACTCAACAACATATTCAGTCTTCTTTGATAGCTCTTCTCAACCCCTTATCTACTTCCAACCTTTAGCATCAATGACTTGGTCATCCCTTTGTTGTTGTTTAACACCACCTATCAAATCAATTACCACATAAAACCTCCATCTCTCCGATTCTTCCCTGTAACTCCTCTGCTCACACAAAATTTCATCAACTACCCTTTACTTTAACATCTCCTAGCTCTACAAATTATCTTAAAATATTACATATTGATGTATGGGGTCCCTCCCCAATGTTATCTTCACAAAATTATAAGTATTATCTTCTATTTATTGATGATTTTACTAGATTTTGTTGGGTGTTTCTGTTGAAATTAAAATCAGATGTATTATGTTTCTACACTTCAAACATCTTGTTGAACATCAATTTCAAAAACCCATTAAAATTATTCAATCTGATAATGGTGGTGAATTTTTTTATGATAAGTTTCAACATTGCCTACAATAATTTGGCATTATTCATAGTCGTAGATGCCATACACCCCTCAATAGAATGGAGTGGATGAACACAAACATCGTCATCTCTTGAAAACCATGCATGCCTTATTATTTGAAGCCAATTTACATTCCCAATTTTGAGTTGATACACTTCTTTTTACAGCCTATCTCATCAACTGTTTACCATATCAATGCCTTTATCAATAGCCTCCATGTTATGCTCATCTCTGGGTTTTTAGCTGCCTTTGGTACCCTTGGTTCCCATAACAATTTTATACTAAACTTGAACCACATTTGGCCCCTTGTGTTTTTCTTGGATAGGCCACTCATTCTAAAGGCTATAAATTCCATAACAAGCAGACTGCCTATATCTACATACCTCGCCATATTCAATTTTATGAATCTCATTTTCCTTACAAACAAACAACTCCTCCACTTCAGCCTACTATCAGCCCCCATAAGTTCCTCCTCTGACGTTGGAACCATCCTCCATCCTTCCACCTAAACATTTTCTAACAGCCTCCACTTCTTCCAACTCTCATAATGCTACTCCAACTACACCCACCAGCTCCACTAAAACACCCTAGACATGCTCTACATCATCTAACATTCATGATATCCCATCCTCTCCACTCCCACCACCTTTTCATCTTATGGTCACTAGATTTCAAATAGAGACCTTCAAACTAAAAATAGATATTCAATCCCCAACATCATCTTATTCCAGCCTCCCCCACTTCTATCTCTCAAGCAAATAAATATGTTTTTTGGCATGAGGTTATGTCAACTAAATCTCAAGCCTTACAATATCAAGGTACATGGTCACTTGTTCCTCCTCACCCCAATCAAAATGTCCATGGCTACAAATGGCTTTTTCATATCAAATATAATTTGGATGGTTCCTTTGCTCAACAAAAGGTCTGCTTGGTTGCACAAGGTCATAATCAAGAGTATGATCTCAACTATATAGGAAATTTTAGCCCTGTTGCTAAATTTCTTACTATTCATTTTTTCTTTACTATTGTTGTTTATTTTAATTGGCCAATTCTTCAATTGGAAGTCACTAATTCATTTCTACATGGTAAACTTGATGATGTTGTCTTCATGAAGCAAAACCTGAGTTTCAAGACTCTCAATTGTCTAATTATGTATGTCACGTATATAAAGCTACTTATGAACTTAAACAAGCGCCCCAGAAATGATTCTTCTCCTTCTCCTCTCACTTACTTCAATAAGGATTTGTTGAAAGTAGTGTTGATCCATCTTTTCTCTACTACCACAAGTGATCAATCTTTCTTTATTTACTAGTTTATGTTGATGATATATCACCCACCGAAATTGATCCCACTAAAATTGAAAAGTTACTACAAAACCTACATTCCAATTTTCTCCTGTGAAACCTTAGTTCAGTTAATACCTTCCTTGGCATCCAGGTTATTAACACTACTAGTGGGCTGCACTTAAGTCCATCACAATACAATACAAATCTACTTGCTAAAGCTGGGATGACTAATTTTAAACCCGTTCAAAATCTCTTTCCCTCTAAAATTCATGCACTTAATGAAACGTCTTAGTTGTTCTCTCAACCTAAATTATATCGTAATTAGTGGCTTACTGTAATATTTAACAATTACAATGCCTGATAATGCTTTTGAGGTTAACCATTTATGTCAGCATAGGCATAAACCGTTTATTATTCATTATCAGCAATTGAAACACGTCTATTACTATATACTGTGTATATCTTGGCTCCTCTCTTGTCTCCTATTCAATCAAAAAGGAAACAAAAGTTGCTTGGTCCTAAACTAAGGTAGAATATTGCACTTAGTAGTAATTGTAAGTGATGTCATGTGGCTACATCGTTTGCTCATGGAATGTCAAAACTTTCTTCTACACTAATACTCCGATCTACTGTGATAATATCTCATCACTTTATTTTGTCAACAATCCTATTTTTCATGCTCACAAAAGAAATATTGAGATTAACTACCACTTTATTAGAGATTATATTAAAGCAAGTCATGCTACAGTTCATCATATTGCATCCTAGGATCAACCTGCATATATATTCACCAAGTCTTTCAGCTCTACATGATTTTAACTACTTTGCAATAAATAACAATTCAATAAACCATTATTAACTTGAGGGGTCGTGATAAGAGATAAGTCATCTTGATAAGTTATCTAAAAGTGCACGTATAAAGTGCTCAGCTCCACATCTCTCTCAGCCATACACACTACCTTTTCTTAACTCCCTGTACAAAATCATTGATGCTCTGTTTGTATAATATGTGCCATTAACTGCTCTGTTAGTATAATATGTGCCATTAACTTTTAACTAACTCTTTATGTATCTATATAGTCATTTACATTATGTGTGGAACTATAGTTTTGAATAGAGCAAGAATGAAGTTTACCTGCTATTATCTCTATACCTTTTTTAGCACCCCAGCGTTGCACCCTGAAAGATGTTGCGCTCAAAATAACAATGTTGCATCACCACAGTTTAATAATTTTAGTTTTTTTAAATAAATTCATTTAAGAAATCTGAGTTAGTATACAAAGTTTGGTGGTTATGGTAAGAAAATTGAAATTAGGTGATTGTGATCCATTACTATAGTCAAACAGTGGTGGCGAAAGGATCATTGTTATATGATTATTAACAAAGGATTATAATCGAGCGATAATGATATGAGAATTATAATTTGAAAACTATGGTCTAACCATCTTAGTTGGTAATAACATCATTTTTGAATGAGGCTGGTATTCCTCCTAAGAAATATATTCTTAGTGATTTAGGTATTCCTAATTAGAGTAGGCATGCCATCATAGGTTTTTCATAGATGGATCCTACTTACTTGAACTTAACCAACCTTAACAAACCAAAAGCCCTGTGTGTTTCCCTTTAAGATCCTTAGAACTCCTCTGTTAGATTAGCATAGGTTCAATTTTAGGGGGTGTCCACGACTTTAGAAAACTCTACTAGATCAAAACTAATCAACACTAGTTTAAACCCTATATATATATATATATATATATATAAGAATCATAGTAAAAAAAATATAACCTAAATTCATCATCATAAAAATGAAATATAAAATATGAGAATTTTATAAAGAAAAAGAGAAGTTCTAAAAAAAATTTAATAAAAAGCATTACATTTAAGACCATTAAAAAACTTATAAAATAAAAAAAATGAAATAATAAGGCATATATATAAACACATACATTTTATGTAACTACCTTTTGTCCAAGATTTTAGGTGCATCCTTGTGAATCTTGTAAGTGTCCTCTCCTCTGGTCTTGTCATAACTTGCTTCATCATCTACATTGTTGAGGATTTTAAGACAACAAAAGTTGTTGGCCTCATTAATGACTTCCTCTAACTGATTTCATTATGACTTCCTCCATGCATACATGTCGCTGCTCTTCAATGGCATGTAATAAGATCTCACTAGGAGGGCAAATTATTACATTCGGTCACCGGACGCGGAGAGGTCCGGATATTAATAAAATATTATTTTAAATTAAGCGCGTCAAAAGCGCAGATAAAGCACAGTCAAAAGTGCACCTAAAGCGCAGTCAAAGCGCAGTCAAAAGTCCATTCAAAAGCGCAGGTGACGTGGCATGTTTTTATCAACTTCTTCTTCCCATTGCATGCGTGAAAAGCATTAACTTTTTTTTGGGACATTTAGGTCATTTAAGTCAAACTCACACCCACAACGCATACGCAAAGACTCAAACTCAAGACCTTTTAATTGAAAGCCTAATCTCTCAACCAACGACTAAGATGAGTTGTATAAAAAACATTTACTTAGTGGCAAATTATATAAAATAATAGAGTTTTTATGTTAAATATGTAAATAATAAGATTTTGAATATTATGAATATACATAAATTATAAAATATAATAAATAAATAAATATAAAATAAAATACAAAGTGTACGCGGGGATATTATGAATATACATAAAATGTAAAATAGAATAAATAAAAGCGTAGGCGGGGTTGTCAATGTAAAAATGCTTGCATAAGCGAGAAAATATTCGACGGCAACCCTCCGCCGACCCCCAAAGCGAAAGCTGGTCTTCCCCATTACTCAAAAGCCGGAAGCTAAGCCCTCTAACGCTGTTTCGCCAAAAAAGGATCATCTCCAATCTTCCTGCTCCTATGGCTTTGTGTGGGTGAGGTCCCCTCCTCTTTTCCATTTAGGTCTCTCAGGCCTTGATCAGGTAATTTGCTAAGCAAATCTGCTGAATCTGTTGGATACTGGTCGCGAGCAGCGCGGATACGCTGTTGTATTGAGAATCAGTGAACATGAGACTGATTTCCTCCCTTGAACAGAGAAAATACTCAAATTTTCATTTCTTGTGGGCTTAAAACATTGGATTCGGTGGTGCGAGGTACTCCGCCTCAGCTTATCAGTTTTTTAGATTGCTGTAGTTATTTCTATTACAAGAGATGTTCTGACTTTTTAATTGATGTGTCCTAACGAAAATTGAGAATGTTGAAATATCTGTCTTGGTCTTGCAAACTTAATTGAAACGAGGATAATCTGATTTTCATACTTTACTTTGAGCTGAAAGTTGGCGGATGGCTGTCTTTACAAGGGCAACATTTGGTATTCTGGGCTTGTCTAATAGGATAGCTTAGCTATTTGAACTTTGTCACGCGAGCCATAAGGTTATAGATTGGATTTTGGTACTTCTGATCATCTGATTTATTTATCTTTATAATATTGATGTTGAAGGTTCTTTTCCCTATCATATCTATTTTCTGTATGAAACCTGAAATTTTTTAGTTATGTTATGATGATTGGAGCGGTTATCATGCATTACGATTAGTTTACTTGAAAATAATGGAAAGAGTTTGTGAGAAGCTCTATTTTAGTCCTGCAACTGAAATGTAATATCTGTGATCGCAATAAATGTTTAGTTTTGTTGATCACTAAAGAGTACACACCGAAATCAAGTCTAACAACAGGAGCTCTTTAGCAATCAGCAAGTATCATTACTTCCCCGTATTTCTCATTTCAATGGGGTTGGGAGGGAAGCTTCTTCAAATCTCTTTACTCACTTTTAATAATTTGTATTTTTCTTGGGGCTACGATTTGTTTCTTGCTATCACTAAATATCTCACTTTCATCTCTCTTAAATGAGGCTAATTAAGCAGCATGCACACAATCTGTTTTGGTTGTTGTTGTGAGATAAGGTTCTATGGTTCCCCATACAACATTCTCAATTTTATAACTTTGAACTTGATCATGTAGATTTATGAGTAAACATCTAGAAATCCTTTTCTGGATTGTGCCTGTTACTGACCTGAGATGTGAGTCATTGAAAGTCAGTATGAAGAATTTATGATGTAGGATCTTGCACTAGAAAACTTCAAGTAAAACAGATTAAATCAATAGAACAGTAAAGTTCTAGTAAGCTGCCGTAGAGCAGAAATTTCTATTCCAAAGTAAAAACTGAGTATCCCTCTTCTTCTCTTCCTAAGTAATTCTTCTCAACAGAGAAGAGCCAAAATTGGTTAGCCAAATGCAAAGCTAACACAAGGGCTGTTGAACTAAAAACAGAAATAAAGCGTTAGCACTATTCTAAGAAAGCAGAATTGAAAATATAATACTACTATACTGATATGCTGCACCCCGGCCCCCCATAACTATCATGCTCCGCATCATTCGCCCGTTCCATCAGAAGAACTGCTTTCTCCTGAAAGCATAACAACGTCGCCGTCATCTGGAGGTATATAAGGATAGAGATCCGCCACATTGAATGTTTTGGAAGTCTGGTATTCAGGCGGTAAATCAATAACATATGCGTTATTGTTAATGCGCTGAGTGACGGCGAAGGGACCGAACTTGCGTCGAGTAAGTTTGGAGTGATCGCCCGGTGGTAGACGCTCCTTCAATCTGACTAGCACCAAGTCTCCAGGATTAAAAATCTTCTCCCGTCGGTGGCGATCTGCACTTTGCTTATAAGCTTGGTTTGCTTCCAATAGTTTCTTCCTTACTTTGGCCAACATTTCCGAAAATTGATCAGCTAAATTCGCCGCCGCTTGGTTGGTGCATTTTGGTATGGCTGCAATGTCAACAACTGTATTTGGCATTTTAGTGTAAACAATACTAAAAGGTGACCTACCAGTTGAACGGTTCGCCATGGAATTAAAGGCAAATTCACATTGCCCGAGCACTTCATCCCAGACCTTCGGGTTCTCCTGCACCACACAGCGTAATAAGTTCCCAAGTGTTCTGTTCACCACTTCTGTCTGCCCATCCGTCTGTGGGTGGTATGACGAGCTAAGCTGTAGTTGAGTGTTCAGACGCTTCCACAATTCACGCCAAAAATGACTAATGAACTTAACATCACGGTCAGATGTTAGAGATCGGGGAACGCCATGCAAACGCACTATTTCACGAAAAAACAATTTTGCTATATTTAGTGCGTCAAAAGTTTTCTTACAGGCTATGAAATACGCCATTTTTGAGAACCTGTCCACGACCACCATAATGGAGTCGTTTCCCCGTCTAGTCCGCGGCAAGCCCATCACAAAATCAAGGCTGAGATCCTCCCAAATTTTCTCCGGCACTGGCAACGGTAAGTACAATCCCGTATTCTGTCTGCCACCCTTGTACTGCTGGCATACTGAGCAGCGTTCTACAAACTTGGCTACATCTCTCCGCAAATGTGGCCAAAAAAATTTGGATTGTACTTGATTGAAGGTGTTGTCTCTTCCCGCATGAGCTGCCAATCCCCCACAATGAACTTCTTTGATTATTTGTTGCCGCCAAGATGATTTTGGAACACATAATAAATTTCCTTTAAAAAGGAAATCATGCCTTAGGGAGTAGTCTTCCACCGGTTCTCTGTTAGAGCATTTATCCCAAATAACACCAAAATATGCATCTGCCTGGTACAGTTCCGTAAGCCCCTCCAATCCGAGAAATTCGGTTTGTAATTGAGTGACAAGTGTTGAACGTCTGCTCAAAGCATCCGCAACCCGATTTTGCTTTCCGCTCTTGTGTTTCAACACAAAAGTAAACTTTTGTAGAAATAGAATCCACCTCGCGTGCATTCGATTTATATTCTTTTGTGTGTTGATGTACTGCAAAGCTTTGTGATCGCTGCACAGAACAAAATCCTGCTGAAGTAAATAGTGCTCCCATTGTCGTAATGCTCGTACGACTGCATAAAGTTCTTGTTCATAGACAGTCCACCGCTGCCTCGGAGCACTAAGTTTCTCACTAAAGTACTCAATTGGCCGACCATCTTGTGATAACACTGCTCCGATTCCCACATTAGATGCGTCCTTTTCTACAGTAAACGGTTTTCCAAAATCTGGCAATGCAAGTACAGGCGCCGAAGTAAGTGCCTCTTTAATACATTCAAAACTTTCTTGATGTTCTGCACCCCACTCAAATTTCTTCAATTTAAGTATATCAGTTAGAGGAGCCATCAGGACACTGAATCCTTTAATGAACCTCCGATAAAAATTTGCCAGCCCATGAAAACTTCGAATATCAGTGAATGTCTGCGGCGTCGGCCAATCTCGGATAGCCATAACTTTGGACGGGTCAGCACTAATTCCTTCACCTGAAATTCTGAATCCCAAAAATGATACTATAGAGGTTCCAAATTCACACTTGGCCACATTTAAAAACAATTTGTTTTTCCTTAATGCTTCCAAAATTTTCCTCAGGTGATCTAGATGTGCCTTAAGATCACTGCTAAACACTAAAATATCATCAAAATAAGCCACACAACAGCGATTTAAAAAGGGTTTAAGAACCTCATTCATCATCCTCATGAACGTGGCCGGAGCGTTGCACAGCCCAAATGGCATCACCTTCCATTCATAAAGCCCCTCTCTTGTTTTAAAAGCTGTCTTCCACTCGTCGCCGGGCCTGATCCGAATCTGGTGATATCCACTACGAAGATCCAACTTTGAAAATATTGTTGATCCAGCTAGTCTTTCCACCATTTCGTCCATTCGGGGCATAGGAAACCTGAATTTGACAGTGATTTTATTGATCGCTCTGCTATCCATGCACATTCTCCAATTCCCATCATTCTTCGGCACCAATAGAACCGGTACGGCACATGGGCTTAAACTGTGTTGAATCAACTGCTTGTCGAGTAATTCATCCACTATATTTTGCAAAATTTTGTTCTCATTTGGACTGAGTCTATAATGCGGCAGATTCGGTAAAGATGCACCAGGCATTAGATCTATTTTATGCTGAATGGTCCTCATCGGTGGCAACTCCATAAGCTAACGTTCCGAGCAAACGTCATTGAACTCCTCAATTAGCTTCTGCATTTCCACTGGTGTTTTGGCCATAGAAGTGTTCTCAGCCACTTCTTTAACAATTAATGCCAAAATACTGGATGTCTCCTTCCAAGCTGTCATCATGGCTGCTACTGAAACCGAGTGAAGAGCATTGTTGCCTTGAGGCACTTTAGCATCCTGTCCAACATTAGGCAGTAATCTCAGACGGCGTCCTTTCCAGTCGAACGCGTAAGTGTTGGCTCTTCCATCATAAATTGCGCCCACATCATATTGCCACGGCCTACCCAAGATGACATGGCAAACATCCATTTCAAGCACATCACATAGTACCTCACTAGCATAGTATTTGCCGATTGAGAACGGCACCTTGCATAAATCTGTCACGGCCAATTCCACGCCCTTCTTAACCCAGCTGATCTTGTACGGATTCGGATTCTTTGTGGTTTTTAGTTGCAGTGCCTGTACCATAGATCTCGACACCACATTCTCCGTGCATCCATTGTCGATCAGTAAGTCACACACCTTACCGCCAATGGTACATTTGGTTCGAAATAAGGCATTGCGTTGCGATTTGCTTGGTTGTTTTGGTGCCAACAACAACTTTTCCAGCACACAAATAAGAGGCTCCCCCACATCTCCGGATACATCTTCAACTTGATTTTCTGCTTCCGCCTCGGCTTCATCTTCCCCATCTTCTGCTTCGACGTCAACTAATTGTAATTGGGGTCTTGTCGGACACTCATTGGACTTATGTCCTTGTTGGAAACAACGGAAGCATTTGACACTAGTGGGCTTAGCATATGGATTTTCTTGAGCCAGAGGAGATCGGAATTTCTGCACTGTTTTTGGGTCTATGGCCTTGGCAACTGCACTGCTAGAACCGCCACTTCCTGCATTAGTAATTGGCTGCTTCATGTTTTGATTAACATTGGAATAAGTTTGCTTTGCACTGTCTACTGTCTGCTCTAAATTTCTTCTAGATGACGTGGGACGATTGTGTCGTTGAAGTTGCATTTCTACCTTCAACGCATAATTAACGGCTTGCGACAACGACCACACAGAGTTTAATTCCAGCTTGTCTTGTATTGTTTCCTTCAATCCCCCAATATATCTTGCAACCAACTGATTGGTATTTTCGTTCAAGTTATTTCGTGCACTTAAACGATAAAACTCTTCCGTATAGTCATTCACTGATCGTTGTCCTTGTGAACATTGCTGGTACTGCATATAGAGCATCTGCTCATAATCCGTGGGCAGGTAGTGTCCGCGCAATAGTTGTTTCATTCTCTGCCAACTGCGAACCGGTCTCCTTCCTTCTCTTCTTCTAGTCTGCAGAACTTGTTGCCACCACGCACTAGCTCCGCCTTTAAGTCTACATGCCACATATTTCACCTGTCTTTCTGATTCAATTTCCATGTATTCAAAGAAATTTTCGACAGACCGTTCCCAATCTAAATAGTCTTCGATGTGCAGTTTGCCGTCGAAAAAGGGTATATCTAATTTAATCTTGTACTCACCATGATTTCGGTCTCTGTTCCGTGCCCGCCTCCGACGCCCCGCTTGGACGTCATCTCCCGAGTCTGAATCCTCAGCTTGATCCATAAAATCGAGCACATCTTCCAAATCAGACGCTTCTATGATTTGTGGATCCCGCTGCCTCGGCCTTTCCGGTTAGGCTTCTCTCCTCCGCTCCGGGTACACAATTTGCTGAACATTCCGAGCTAACTGCAATCGGTCTAACCTGGCATTGATATCCCGCAGTCCTTGGCGTAATTCATCGCGAATACGATGAATGTCCGATGCTATCTCTTCGGTGTGTTGTGCTAACTTGTTGTGCTCACTCCACAGAGTTTCCAGGCTGTTGTCTTCCTCGGGAGCCACCCGCCTGCTACCTTCAGCCATCTAGCTCTGATACCAATACTGATGTAGGATCCTGCACTAGAAAAACTTCAAGTAAAACAGATTAAATCAATAGAACAGTAAAGTTCTAGTAAGCTGCCGTAGAGCAGAAATTTCTATTCCAAAGTAAAAACTGAGTATCCCTCTTCTTCTCTTCCTAAGTAATTCTTCTCAACAGAGAAGAGCCAAAATTGGTTAGCCAAATGCAAAGCTAACACAAGGGCTGTTGAACTAAAAACATAAATAAAGCGTTAGCACTATTCTAAGAAAGCAGAATTGAAAATATAATACTACTATACTGATATGCTGCACCCCGGCCCCCCCATAACTATCGTGCTCCGCATCAATTTATTTTTTCTGAGCTGGTTTCTTGAGATGAAACTCTAGCTATGCTTGTTTTGGGCATCAATGAGACTACTATTGGGCAAAAAAGTGGTCCAACATTGCAATTTTGTGAAAAAATATTAACTCTGCATATTACAAATACTGTATTAACGTTTGCTTATTTAGGTTGACATGATGTGTCGCAGGATGATTACAGATTGCATCTATGTTTTCATTGGACCCGTTGGGAACTTGTGGAATTTATTCTAGATGTTATTTTTTGTTCCAGTTTTTTGGTGTCCATGTTGAAATTAGCCTGATTAGTTCTGATGTCAGTTGTTCAAGTGAAATGGTGATTCAAAATGATAAAAAAAGAATTCAATTCTGACTCACGAAACTATTGTGTTGATGATTTCCATACATTTTACTGGAAGGAAACAATCAGGTGAATCTGTTCTCATGAATTGCAGTTCCTGGAAATGAAATCCCTGTTTTTGCTGATTGTTTTATTCTATAGTTTTTCAACTGATATGAAGTAACCGTTGTGTTAATTGTTGCATTTGTTCTATTGTAGTTATCAACTCCTTAACAATGTAGTTCGTTTAACAGTGAAAGTTGGAAGTGTTTAGATGTTCAAATTAATTGAACATTCTTTGTTCCTCCTAGACTGAGAAGTTGAGAATTTTTCTTTCAACCATTTCCATGATTAACCTTTTATTTTAAAATGAATGTCCAGCAATCTATCTTAAAATAATATTGTTGAATAAACAGAAAATATCATTAAAAATTTTTGGGAATGTACATTTGATGCGATCAGCCTTGGTAACAAATATACAATTTTTGCAGAAAAGCAAGCTATTAATCTTAAAACAATTATGACTACTTCTGTTTAAAATTAAAAGATAGTTAAAAATCCACTCCACGTGAAAATATTTTTGATTTTCTAAGAGAATTTAACAACAAAAAATTGAAAATCACAAAAGATAATCAATTGATTAAAATTTCATTCATGGAGAACAAACTTTGTAGAAATCATAGAAAATTTTATCATTTCGTACACTAAAAATAAAAGAAGTGAAGAGGAAAAAAGAGATATAGAAAGAAGAGGAAAGAATGAAGTATTGATAGGGAAGCGTCAAAGTTGAGCAATTAAATTGGTACTAAAATTTTTCATGTTTTGCACTTGATCATGGATAAGAATGCTCGAAGAAGTATGGTTTTCACATACAAATCAACTTTTATTGAAGCCAAAGAATTGTTGTGTTACATGCCTCATGATAACTATTTATAAACCTCATGAAATAATGTTGAAGACAGGGTAAATACTACTTGGGAAGTACCTGTTGATGGAGAAGTTACCGCCCACAAAAAATACGATAAGAATCGTACATAGAAATTTTCATAAGAAGCATTGAAAAAACAGCTTGTATAGAGAAGCCAAAGTAAACACCTAATCAAAATAATTGATAGAAATGGCCAACAAAAAAATCAAGTTACAAGAACAATCGCAAGAAGCACAAAAGAAATAATTTCTTCAGTAAATAAGGTGTTACTATAAATAGTAAACAGCTATCCCATAACATCTCCCCTTCTTTTCGCATATTTTATGCACCACAAAAATATTTTTTCTTCATGTTGGGAAGTAATTGCTTTCTTCATTAATTGTGTTTTTTGAATCTAGGCATTATCTTAATCACTCCAAGTTGTAAATTCTAATGTTAGTTGGGGAAAACGTGCTCCTTAAGGATTGACGATCATGAGAATAGGAAAAATAATCTGCTAGAGGAACACCATAAAAATGATACAAGAGTTTTCAAGGTTTGATGCGATTCATGTCCACTAATTTGAAAACAAAAATAGGATATAAATCTTTTGTCTTAAAATTTTGACTTTTAACCTAGTAATATTCTTTCCCTTCCCTCTTTCCATTTCCAAAGCTAAACTCGATTCCTCCTCCAACTGTGTACCTCGAAGATAGAGAAAAGCATGTTACCTCTTATATTGAGCTATCTCATCGGTCATCAGCCTCTATGATGGACATTAAGTGTCTCTTGGGAGGAATCTAACTTCTAGCTATCACCTCCAATTCTTTTGTATTCTTTGCCAACCACATAATAGATAAATCCTTATTTATGAAAGTAACCAAGTTAAAAATTAACCTCTATCACTTCCCCAGCCACTTTTCCATCCTTTACCTCTAGACATAGCTGAATGAGGGTGAATAATAAGTGATGCCCTCAATAACATGTAGCTAACTCCTTAGATGATGCTTAGATGTGGTTCATTGTAACAAATTTGTTAATATTAGGTGCATGACAATAGGTGATAGGCTATGATGCACCGACACTTCTCCTCAAATAGGCGTGTAGTGTCCGACACCTATCTGGCATGACACGCGTTTGACACTTCTCTGACACGTGTCGAACACGCCAAAAACTTGTCCGATTAAAAAAATATTAAATACAAATCGGACTCGCATGTCTTACATATTTTATGAATTTTTTTTAAATATAATTTCTTATATTTAAATTTTTTATTTATTTAAATATAAAAATAAATTTCTTATTTTCTATTCACTACACCAAATCAATCGCCCGCACTTAATACCCCATTCATCAAATAATCTCATTTTCATTTCTCTTTGATAGTTTATGACTTTGATTTCACAATAATGCCCGATGTCATCTCAACATTGTCGTTTGATCATTACAATATCAACATTTCAAAACGATCTTCATATCAAAATCTAACACTGTCTTGACATTGATGCTTGACGCTAGTAATTTCTACACCCACAACTTGACATCTCATCTTTTTTCGACGCCTTCTCAACATCGATGATCAACATCCTCTCAGCATCGACGATAAACACCCTCTTAACATTGATGCCCAATATGTACTGCATAACATCAATGCACGACTCTAAACAGCATTGTCATCTCCTCTTTGGATGATTGATAAATGACATTGACGCTCGATTCTCGATATCCTAATATTAATCATTTTAAGTATAAATTCTAGTTAAATGAATTATTATTTTTAATATTATACTTATTTAATTTTTAGACACTAATTTTAAATATAAAAACTATAATACCGTATCTAACTCATGTCCATATTTAATATTTTCAATAATTGACGTGTCTCATATCTGTGTCGTGTCTTATCTGGTATGTAGAGCTGTAGGATTATTGGTGGAGCAAACGTATCCTAATATCTTTTGGACTCCATGTGTTGTGCACAATTTAAATCTTGCTTTAAAAATATTTGTACAGCCAAAAATACAAAGGAAAATAAAATCATCTATGCTGAATGTCATTGGATAACAGTGGTTGCAAGTGACAATGTTCTGGTCAGAAATTTTATTATTAACCACTCAATGAGCTTTTATTGATTCAATTTATTATATGTTGAGAGAGGCTGACACAGATAAATCTTGCATATATTTGATTTATGAGATGTGAGACTATATGTTAGCTGAAGTGAAAGAAATTATATATAGACATGAAAAAGTGAGGCACATGATGAAGAATCAATTTTTTAGAGTATTGTTTATACTATTCTTCAGAAAAGGTGGAGCAAAAGTAATTCACCTCTTCATTATTTGGCTCAGTCATTAAATCCGAGATAATTTTGAATATATCTTTTAAATTAGTTTTTCATTTGTTTGCTAATGAATTAATAATTTTACTTCATTGTATTCTTTGAAGATATTCAAGTAAATAATGGTTTCAAGAAGACCCTCAATGTGTCTCGCCACAAAAAGATTTAGAAGTTTCAAATATGAGAAAAATATATTTGAAATGTTATTTCCTAAACGAGGAGGAGAGAATAAGGATTAATATAGAACTTGTAAAATTCTTTGGATATTTAGAGGATTTTTCGCGATCAAGAATCTTTGGTTAATATATGAAAAATGGATCCAAAGATGTGGTGGTTGATTCATGGAGCTTCAACACCACTACTTCAAATAATAGCAATAAAACTTCTTGGTGAAGTTTCATCTTCCTCTTGTTGTGATAGAAATTAGAGCACATGCTCATTTATTCAATCGATGAAGATGAACAAAATTATTCCATAACGGGCTGAAGATTTAGTTTATGTGCATATAAATCTTCTACCTCTATCAAGGAAGACCCCACTTTATATGATTGGCGATAACAAGATGTGGGTTGTTGTTGGAGATGGGTTCGAGTCCCTTGATGATATGGGAATATTAGAGATTGCAAATCTTTCTCTTGATGAATCAGAATTGGAAGTAATGATATTCAATGATGTTGATATTGAATACAAAAGACAAACATCTGAAGCTAATCAGAGTATTCTCCCTAGTCCCTACTGAATAGTTGAAGCTTGATATTGTACTAAATGATTTTTTTCTTATAATTTTATGGTTATACTAGATATTTTGTACTAAACATTTTATATTGTAAGCTAGACAATTTATCATGATATTGATTTGTTACTATTTGTCACTTCTAATATGATGTTACATTAATTTCTGTATATCATATAAAAAAATTTGTAATGTTGTGTCAGCGCCATTCCCATGCCCTATATTTTCAAAAAAAAATCATGTCATGTGTTCGTGTCATGCCGTGTTTATGTCATCGTATTCATGTCCGTGCATTATAGGTGTTAGGTAACATAGTTATTGAGGTTAGGTAGTCTTCAAGAATATATGTAAAACACATGAAATAAATTATGTGTTAGGCTAGTTCACACAGAACCGGCCCAAGGAGGGCGGCTTTAACATACCAGGATGGTGGACCCCCCCCCCCCCCAATGAATGCAGCCCAAACCTAGTGGACCCCACTAGGAAGCAAATTAAGGAGAGAGAGAGAGGGGAGGGTAGGGGTTGGAGGGAATTTTGAATTATGGAAGTTTGAATTAGGGAATTAATATATTAATAGTAAAGGTTGTTTAGGGTTAGGGTTATGCATGCTTTGAGTTGTTCTTTTGGAGTTTTCCTTGGCGTCTTGGGCTCTATATTCATCGTCTAGAGATTGGGAGAGAACGATCCTCCTCTCAAATTGAGGATCAATTGTATTTTGCTTGGTGTTAGTTTTTGCTTTGATTCCATTATTACAATCTATTGTTTTGGATTGCTTTCAAGATTTTCGTATGCATTCAATAATGTTTTTACCAATTATTGCTAGGGTTGCTTACAAACTCAAATATTTCCTCTTGGATTACTTGCGAACTCAAGTATTTCTTATCATTATGTTTCAAGTTAGTAATTTTGCAGTCAATGTTTATGAGAAAAGTATCTCAATAATCTCACACCTGGATATTAAATTTAAATATACTATATTGAGCAAGTAATCTTTGTGGAGCTCCCTCTTCTAATTATCAATAGGATCTGATTGAGGTTCTGAAGGACCTTAGTCCTTCAGTGATAAATGTGCATCCATTAGCACCATTATTGCCTTGTTATTGTGTTGCTCCTTAATCATGAAATACTATCTTTCTTGCAATATCGATGTACCCTTTAAAAGTTCACTCTTAACAAAAAAATTATCCTTCAGCACACCTTTAAAATCATTATAAATAGATTTAATAGTTGCTCCCACAGTTATAGCGTTTGACGTTATATGATTAGTATTGTACTTGCTTCTAGATGTCGTCACCATAGCACCATCACCTTCTAAATATCAACATAGAAGGTTGGTCTGTAATATTCTCCACATAGCTGCTTGATCGAAATTAGATTTCACTTCAAGACAATATCACAAACTCTCACACCGCTTGAGAGTTTACATCAACATTATGTAACCTACGAAAATCTCTTACAAAATAATTATATAGAAACTCTTTATGTGGAGTAGAATAAAAAGTCGCATATGATTCTAAGATCCAAGGCTCCATAGGATTATATCACTAATGACTAGTACCTCATAGATTTCTTCAAGTGAAAAATTCATAAATTCCTATATATGATTGGATAGTCTTTTCATGTGGCCTGCCTTAGCACATCATGAATATACCCCTATCATGAACGTTTTGCTAAGTTTTTGGTCAACGTCCTTTGTTGACTATTAATGTATTTCTCCATTGCTTTTTGAATTCAAAGCAATAAAAGAACAAACTTCACGTGATTCTTATCTCTTGATGTTTTCATTTAATGAGATTAGGTCGTGAATAGTATTGAGCTTCAATTTCATGTACTTATATGAATTTTTTATAATTGTCATAGTTTCAACCTAGCTTTCTAGTAGTGATGAAAATAAGCTCAATGCATGAATTTTGTCATTAAAGTTGGTGCAAACCGAGCCAAAGTATCTTGTATTCAGATTGAACTCATTAATATATGTCATTGCAGAAGAATCTATAATTTTTTTATATTAAAAACCTTTTTCATTAAATATTCTTGTAATATTTGCCATCAAGGACTTATCGGACATGTCTAATTGTGCTTTTACATGACAATTGTGATCAGCTCATACAATAATTTGAAAGCAACATTCTCCTATTGACTTTATTAAGTGTCCCTTTTAGCACGAAAGGGAGAAAGTTATTTCACAGCCGGCGAGCTCTAGTTGTTGGTCCCGATCAAGCTATCGTAACTTCCGATCCCACAGGGAAAGGAAAGTCGTCGATTGAGCGAAGCCACACAGCCCGAAGGAACCGAAGCAGCGATGGGGAACTGCTAGAATGAACATACCCGATGCAGGTAGCTTGAAAGAAAGTAAAGGGAGGTGGGGAGGCAATATGCTCCTGAAGTCGCGCCTCTAGGTCCTGATATTCTTGATTCTTATCCTGTCAGTGCCTTACCTTGTCCTTGACTTTGTTAATCCTTGGAGTATAAGTTCATATGCCTGCTATTTAGGAGATCCAATCTTCTCCGCTCTCATATTTTTTGACTTCGGCTCAAAAACATATGGATATATTTTTTCTTGTCATAAATAATCCTTAATTTGCTTCTTCTAATACTCAAAATATTATGTACGTTTCACATCAAATACGCTCCTGAAGTCGCGCCTCTAGGTCCTGATATTCTTGATTCTTATCCTGTCAGTGCCTTACCTTGTCCTTGACTTTGTTAATCCTTGGAGTATAAGTTCATATGCCTGCTATTTAGGAGATCCAATCTTCTCCGCTCTCATATTTTTTGACTTCGGCTCAAAAACATATGGATATATTTTTTCTTGTCATAAATAATCCTTAATTTGCTTCTTCTAATACTCAAAATATTGGCTATTGAACCAGTCAATCCTCACACACCCATCTTCATGTCATTATTCTCACTTTTCTCAGACTTCAAAGCTATACCAATTAATGGGAAAAAGCACATGCTCAAAGACAGTAACGATCATGAGAATGAGAAAAATAATCTACAAGGAAAAATATTAGGAAATGAACACAAGGGAGTTTACATAGTTCGTTAAGATCTGCCCCATGTTTATGAGCAGAAAAAGTGATAATGTCTATTATTCTAAAGACAAAAGTATAATACATATATTATTTTTAAATATTTTCTCAACTTTTATCTAACTGTATTCTTCCCTTTCTCTTTTCTCTCTAAATATGAGCATGACTCCTCCACCAGTTATGTGCTTAAGAGATAAAGGAAGCATTCCATCTCCTATGTAATACCTTCTTGCTTGTCACTAGCCTTTATGACAGTCACCAAGAATGTTTACAGCTTCCAACCATGGTCTCTAGCCTTTAATGGTTGTTCCCAATCATTTTTCTGAGAAATAAATTTGTATGACACTGGTCAAGTTAACTTCAAAGCTCCAATCGCTCAATGACCAGTTCTATGACTTCACCTTAATGTTATCTTAATGAAAAAGAAGAATGATTTATGTCTCTCAACACCATGTGAACTTCTCTTTATATAATGCTTAGATATGATAGGTAACAAATCTGTAGATATTTGATATATGGCATTAAGTGATAAGTAACATATTTATAGAGGATATGTAGTGTTTTTGAAACTCATGAAACAAATCCATGTTGTATGTTTTGATGTTGCAATCAAGATTGGTGAGAAAATTATATCCACATCCTAATCGTATTTTCATTTACAGAAGAATATGAAATAATTGGTAATCCTAGATGATCCGATATCGAATCACTTGGCATATGGATGGTTTATCTTTTTCCTTGATTAACCATTTTCTTGTATTCTATATTGGGAGTGGATGGAGACTGGAATTCTGACATACCCTTTGATGAGATTTATTTGATACGATGGCTTGCCAATTCTATCATTGGTCAGAAGTTGATTTTTTAATGCCCAGTGTTTATAAATATTGCTTTTAACTTTATCTTTTATAATTTTTTATAGTTTATTATTTATTTATGGGACCTCTGAAAAATCTGCTTACCTTGTTTTTATGATTATAGGTCTTCTCTTGCTGCTATAAAATTCATTGGTTTCTTACGTCAAAATCCTTCAACAATCTACCGCACATTTTCTGCCGATTGAGTAAGAATGGGTGCATTTTGCTGCTGTCTATGTGGGGAGGACTTTGAAGAATACACTCATCCAAGCAATCCTGTATACAGGCATTGCATATGCTTGAGATATTTTCTACACCAGCTGTTCTATGGGGTAATTTTTGTTTTTTAGACGGGTCTCAGGCCCTGGATGTGTAAATTGGATGGTTGCATACTCGACAACAACAATAAAAACAACATCAAGCCTTTATCCCACTACGTGGGGTCTACTAAATTAATCCTTTTTCTCCATTCTGTCCTGCCAAGGGACAAATTCTCATTTAAATCTAATAAAGAAAGGTCATTTCTAATATTTTCTAATTGATAAAGCATTGTAGGTCTCACCATCATCTTATAGAATTTACCCTTAAGTTTGAGGGCGATTTTTCTATCACACAACAAGCCCAATGCATTCCTCCACTTCAGCCATCCAACTTGAATTCTACTAATAATATCTCCATTTATGTCACCATCACTTTGAACAATAGATCCAAGATATCTAAATGTGTACACTTTTTAATGACTTAATCGTCCAAAGTCACAATTCCCCCCACTAGATCTATTACTACTAAAATTACACTCTATATATTCAGTTTTATATTTACTCAAATGAAAATTTTTAGACTCTAAGATTGACCTCCATAATTCAAGTTTACCTTCAACTCACTCTCTAATCTTATCAACAAGAAGAATGATTTATGTAGCCAACCAATATAAAATTTATCAAGCAATCATGACATGAATCCATTAATAGAGAAAACTGATTCATGTAATCAAATCCCACATTGTGGAATAAAGACTTGATATTGTTGTTATCCTTAATCATCTATAACTTAGCTTACTAACATACATTATCACATCTGAATACTCTTTTCCAATGATTTATTTCCAATTGACCTGTAACATATCCTTTTAGATAGATTTTGATTCATACATTATGAAGTATGATTTCTTTATGAGGATGCATTTTCAAGTGTTCTTATTTTTTTCTTTGTGCATTGCAGCAATTTAGCAATTTATGGTAACAGCTACAATGTAAAAGAAAAAAGTATGTTCAGATAGATTAATTCTTTATGTTCAACAATCGAACAAACATAGTCTGGGATAAAACACAGTCCTCGAGAAGTTTTAACGCAATTTTTATATCTTTCTTATTTTTTGGATCATGAATATGTTCTCTCGTCTCCGTTACTTTGGATGAGTTTCCATGATGTTGCATCTGCGGTCTCTATATTACTTTAGGGTCCTTTTTTATGAATTCTTGTTTAAATATATCTGCCAATGGTCGTAAGCTATCTCAGTTTATCAAGTTTTCGGTGTTTGAGTGTATTTTTCCATCTATCACTGATATGTAAGCTAGCTTTAGGCTTTGTTTGGGACGGTTTTATTACTGCTTCTTAAAGCAGCTTTTTAGAACAAAAATTAAAATTTTTGTACTTAAAAGTTGCTTTCATAAGCAGTAAGAAAGCCGTCCCAACGAAGCCTTAGATGCATTTCAATCCTTTTAATTCGGACTACTGATGCAGTTTTTGTCTGCTGTAGTTTGGTCCAACATTTCATAGAGTTGATGGGCGAACTTCTGCTGCAAATGTGGCCACACCTTTGACTTCAACTGCAGTAATCACTTCTGTTGACACTTCTTCGTCTGATACTCAGTGCCTTGTCCCTAGACCTCCTCCATTTGAGAGTGACAGTCGGTATTCTCGTTCACAGCGAGATGGTTTAATCTCAAGGCGTGATAAAGCCGTGAACCACAGTCAAGACAATCAACACATTCGAAGAAGTGGTAGCAGCACTGATGTGGAACAGTTGGGTGGTGGCAAGAAGCGGAATAGCGTAAATGCTGAAGAAGAATCCAAAGTTAGTCATTTTGAAATGGAAGAAAATCTTCCTGGCAAAATATATTCTACAGGTTATGTGCTGAAAAATTTAGAAGATGAAGATGTTTGTCCCACATGTCTGGAAGGTAAACTATTCATTACATGTATATTATTATGAAATTGTTTAATACATTGTTATACTCTTTGAAAGGCTACACCTATTTATGAAGGTGTGTTGTATTGGATACGCACCCGACAATGACACGCATCCGATACGTGTAGGATACGCAAAAGCCGTATCCAATTAAAATAATGTTTAATTTTAAAAGGACACGTATCGGATACGTGTGTCCCTTGAAAAAAAAAAATGACGCATATTTCACATTTACTTCGGTGGTTGCGAGCAAGTTTCTCTCACTTCCGAACCCGCGAGCGTAAGTGTGCATCTTGGGTTTATGTTCAATAGAAGTTCAAAGACAAACCACCGAAGAGGTTAATCCTATCATTCCTTCTATTGAATAGTTGAAACTTCATGTGCTAGACAATTTACATTTATGTTTTTGTTGTTGTACTAGACATTTAATACTTATTTTTATTTTGATATTATAAGCAACAAGAATACAAATGATGCTGCTTTAATTTTTTTTGTCATTTCAAATATTTATGCTTTTATTGTTTTCTTAATTTTTATGTATGATATAAATTATAATGTCATGTACGCGTCGTATCCGTATCCTGTATTTTTAAGAATTGACGTATCTCGTATCCATATCGTGTCGCTGTATCCGTATCCGTGCAACATAGCTTAAAGGGTTTGCCGACTGAAATTTCAATTGTTTTCCCCTAATCATTAGAAAAATACTATGATGCCGATTACAGACAGTTCAGTCTTGTTCTAATTATGCTATGTAATCTCATCTGCAGAATACAATCCAGAAAATCCAAAAATCAAAACAGAATGTTCACATCATTTTCATCTTAGCTGTATATATGAGTGGATGGAAAGAAGTGACAGTTGCCCAATCTGTGGGAAGGTATCAGATAATTCTTTTTTAGTTATGACTTCTGTTTTATTCAAAAATGGATATGTGGATCACCATTGCTAATACCTTTTTATTATTTTCCTTCTATGGAACGTTTGCTGACTAGGACTTCGTTTGGGACGGCTTTCTTCCTGTTTCTTAAAACTGTAAAAACCGCTTTAAAAAGAAATAAGAAAACCGTCCCAAACGCAGCCTAGATTTTTTTGGTAAATGCCTTGAATCCAATGTGCAAATTTATCGGAAGGTTCTTTTTCATGCGATGAATATATATATCTACTTTATTTTCTTTGTTTTCTTTGGTTTTGTGCAGGAGATGGAATTTTGTGAGAGCCCCTGATTCAGTTCCATTAACCTGCCTGAAGCTCCATGACCAAATGCTGAAAGCATCAGATACTGGAATAATGTGTAAGGCTTTGTTTGGGATAGCTTTCTAACTGTTTTATAAAGCAATTTTTTAGTACAAAAATTTTTAAAAAACAGGAAAAGAACAGTGTCTAGAAGCTGGCCCAGGCTTCATTTGGGACAGCTTTGATATTGTTTTATAAAACAGCTTTTTAATGTAATTTTTTTTTTAAAAGAAAATTTTGTACTAAAAAATTGCTTTAAACCTAAATAAGAGGATTGGAGCTGCTGCAGGAAAATAAAATATAATGGGTTTCTGTACAGCATTTGAAAATCGATTTGATTGTTACAAGATTCTCATTTACTGTATAGAGATTTTTATTGAGTTGAAAGTTCTGCTATATTTTATTGAGTTGAAGGCATTGCCTGTTTGTGGGAAAAGTTTGCATGATATGTCAAATGAAAAAAAAAATTTATGTGATGATATTTTGATATAATTTATATTAGAGTAGGCTAAAAAATTATTAATTTTATTTTAATTTAAAAATTAAATATTCTAATTTTTAGATCATCTTGATATAATTATATCATGAAAGTCATTGGTATTCTTTTAATATCATTTTTTGATTGAGTCTAATAATTATTGAATTTATTTTAGAATTAGTATAATATATTAAAAAATATTATATTAATCACAATATAAGTTTAATAAAAAAATTGATCTGTGTGCATTGAGAAATTAAATGACCAGCAAGTGCTGACGTTTGTTAGAAGATAATTGTTTAATAAAACCATTATTAACTCTTCTTTGGAAGCTGAATGTCATGGTTTTAAGGTTTTAATAATTTGAAAATTAAATAATTATCAATTGAAATCAATGGAATGAGGTAGCCGTTAGATATAAATTCTTTTCAATTTGTGCAAATGATCAATTTTCATTAGAATTTTCATTAAAATAGGTCAAAGCCCAAATGTCTCTTACTTTGGATTGCCTTTTTGAAAAGAGTTATTATTATATACCCAATTACATTTTAATGATGTCGTATTTAAATACAAGATCAAACTTTTCAATATTGTTAATTTCATTAAAGGAGTGATTTCAATAAATTTTTCTGAATAATTTTAATTGATAAAATATAATAATATAATTAGATTAATTAAAAGGGATTTTCTATGTTGTCTGAATATTCTTTTTCTTTATGATAGGTAAAATCATCGCAAAAATTAGTAGGGGGATTTGTATACATACTCAATAAATTTTATCTGCTTATATATCTAATGCCTACACTTTAGTTTTTGCTTATATAAAACTTGTATGTTTGAATATGTCAAAGAACTCAAGCTCAATTTGCCTTGAGACGAGGAAGGTAAAATGTGCATTTGTCGAAAGCCAAAGTGTAGTCACTATGGGTCAAGAGATTACTCACCATGGGTTAAGGTTCAAAGAAAGGGGTCTGATTAGTCCTTTACGATACGTCATTTTGGAGTGCACCCTGCCTTATTAAGAACTTACCAGTAACAAAGCTTGCTTAATTATGAATGGCTTTTATCATATACCTCTTTTCTATTTTGTCAAGAGTGTGTAGTTGATCTCCACCAGGGGCGAAACCAGCCTATCATTTTAGGGGAGGGGGGGGCAAAATTTTCTTATTAATAGACAAATATTAAAAAAAAAATGAAGACATAATTCAAAATGAAATCTTGTATTCCAATAAGATGGATAAATTGAAAACCTTTACAATTTTATCAATCTATTTTGCATTTTTTGATAATATTGGATTACATCTTCATGGGGAATCAAATCAAACACATCTTTTTCAATATAAGGCACAAGGCAAGCGTTGAGCCAATCATCACCCATCCTACTACGCAATCGATGTTTGATAATTTTCATGACTGAAAATGCTCTCTCCACTGTAGCAGTAACAACTGGTAAGTTAATGCTAAAGTAATAAGTCTGTAAACTAGTGGATACGCGTCATTCTTCTTGAACTTAATAATATGTAGGGCTACAAGCGAACCAAACGTTCGACGAACTACTCGTTGTTCGGTTCGATTAAAGCTCGTTCGTGATCGTTTAATTAACTAACAAACAAGCTTGAACAATATTTTAAATACTCGATTCTTAAATAAACAAGCTTGAACACTAATGCGTTCAGCTCGTTTATGTTCGCGAACAACATCAGTTGATGTTCATGAACAAGCTCGATAAAAAGCTCGATTCGGGTTCGATTAAATATAAAAACTGTAATTATACCATAATAATATAATTATTTTTTATTAATAAATTTTAGAGTAATAAAATATTATAACATATGTTTAATAAATTAAATTTTACATTTTTATAAAAATTATATTAAATATGTTTAAGTAGGATTTAGGAAGTGCTAAACCGGTGAACAGTAATAGGAAAATGACGAAAAAAAAGGCGGGCTGGGTGATAGAATAAACCCTAATCGCGCCCAAATGGCTAAATGCCCGATATTTCTCCCCAAATGCTGAAACGCTGAAAGCGGAATGGAGGGAGAGCAAGTGAGCGACTGCACGAGTAGCCATTGCCGACTGGAATCCCGATCGCTCTAGCTCTGACTGGACTCCCGATAGCTCAAGCTCCGACTGGACTTCGGATCGCTCTGAGAGAGTGAGCGACTGCAGCCTCCCGATCGCTCAAGCTCCGACTGGATTCAGTAAGTTTGATCTCCTTTTTCTCATTTCTGGACTCGATAGCTCAAGCTGAAGCTTCCACCATTCGATAGCTCAAGCTTCGGATCGACGTTAACTCGGCATTTCCGACTGGACTTCCGATCGCTCTGAGAGTGAGCGACTGCAGCCTCCTGATCACTCAAGCTCCGACTGGATTCGGTAAGTTTGATCTCCTTTTTCTCATTTTCTGGACTCGATAGCTCAACCTGAAGCTTCCACCATTTGATAGCTCAAGGTTCGGATCGACGTTAACTCTGCATTTCCGACACCGACCAGCATCAAGTAGAAGTGGGATTTCTGGACAACGGAACGGTAAGTTGTTTTACAGATTTTTACAAATTTTTGGCTATATAGAACTATTTTTCTTTTCTGTACAGATTATTGTTGAATTGGTTCTGTTAGCTATTTTGATGTGTTCATGTGAGTTTAGGTTTTGTTAACAAATTTTACAGATTTTTGGTTAAACTCGGTAAGCTATTTTGATGTGTTCATGTGAGTCTATTTTATTGCATCTTTTTTTTGGTTGTGTTGCTGTACAATTTTTGTTGAATTAGTTGTGTTAGCTGGATAGGATTTATGTTTAATATTATACTTGAATCTTCTTTTAAATGTATGTCTCAAAATTTCACGCCACCTCAGCCACATATAAATCCTACACCTCCTCAGCTACATTTGGCAATGCATGATGTTCAAATTAGTGCGGGTTCATCTTCAAGTCCAATAGTTGTAACAGTTGATGACCAACAAGCAAATCTTTTCTCTAGGAAAGCAAGAAAAAAAAACTCAAGGTGAAGGTATGATAAGACAAAACTTTTAATACTAGTTGGTGAAAATTTTCCTTACAACTACTAATTTATTATATTACATCTTGCAGGTTAGGGAGGAAACAAAGGAGATCTCATTGGTTTGATAAGGAGCATAATATTCTTTTTTTTTTTTTTTTGTGAAGAAAACTATTGTAATTTTGTTTAACAAGCTACTATATTTTTGTAGTTTTGACATATAAACATGCTTTATTTAAGTTTTGGTTTATTATACTATCCACTTCTATTAACTCATTGGTTTGAATTTCGTTATGTGCTAAATATCAATATGCTTTATTTTATATGATGTATTTGTTTTGATAGTGTGTTTTATTTGGTGTATTTTTTTTATAGTTTTGACAGAACCATTGAAGTCTTGTTACAAATGCAGAAGATAATCTTTTAGCTATCGTACCAAATGGAGAGAAATGCAACGGGTAAGCTTCTTTCGAAAATATATTCATATAAATTAATCATATTTTTATTTTAAATATACAACTGCTTTTATTTTAGAAATTTTATTTCATGAACAAGAAATATTTCATATTTGTCCATGTTTGTTAGATTGTTTGTTTAGAATGTTCATGAACAAATTTAATATTTGCTTGTTCAATATATTCTTTGCGAGATACGTTCACGAACATAGCTCGTTTAAAGCTCGATAAGCACTAAACAAACAAACATGAACCAAACATGAACCAAACATGAACCAAACATGAACACCCTTAAATTAAACGAACCTAACATGAACACAAATAATAAAGCTCGAATCAAACACGAACCAAACATGAACAAGCTAATGTTAAACAAACACAAACATGAACACTCACATACTCGGCTCAGCTCGGTTCGTTTGCAGCCCTGATAATATGCTTTGCAAGATCAGCAATGCTTCTTAGAGAGGAGAACTCTTCACTAGTCCGCATATCAATAATGTACGTTGATAATTGACTTTTAAGAGCAACAACCTCAATTATAAAAAAATCACTTGGATATAACTCTGCTAGACATATCAATTTCCTCTCATCATAAGCACGAAAAGAATCACTTGGGTTTAAGCATGACACATAAAGAAGTAACTCAGTACTTAATTCAGAAAAATGACTATTTAGCTCTTGAAGTTGCATATCAACTACAGTATAAAATAGATCAACACGATAATGATGTAGATTTGTTTTACCTTCACCTCTTTGCATTCAATAGATACATTATTGATGGGGTCCCTTCAATAGATATGATCTTCGAATATTATCTCTATCATTTACATCATAACTCCAAAAAGGAAGTCGGAGTCCTGGATCTGCTGGGAGATTATTAATATCAATTTCTATTCGCTCTTTCCTCTTTAAATAACGTTCAATTTCCCTAAACCCTAAAATGAAATTTATTACCAAAGAAGAGCGACCGTCAATCAAAATATTTACATCATAACAAACAATGAAATGTAAGTAAAATCAAATAGCAAAATAATATTTCCAGAATTATTATCATGAGAATCTCTTTTAGTATTTCTAACACAAATAGATGTTCCAAGTTGCATTCAGTCAAATCATGGAAGCATCATGGATATATTGACATTATTGCATCTGCTCATGTTATAGAATAATCGAATGAACCAAATTCCTATATTGAATCTATTAACAGTAAGCGGACGTTGCCAGTTAGTTTTGTAAATTCCTATATTGCATCTGCGCATGTTATAGTTGCCAAAGGTTTTGTAAATGGTTGTTTTGCATAGGATTCATTATTTCTAGAGTATTTCCAATTATGTTTTGTAAATGGTTGTTTAAGAGGAAGGATGACTCCTACAATGCTAATAAACTGAAATTCAAAACTAGTTAGTTGCCAAAGGTTTTGCATAGGAAAAATGGGGGATGGCGGCTGCAATGCCTGCACCAGATCATGATCAATT